CAGGGTCAGGGAGGAGGGTCAAGATAGAGGACAGGGACAGGGAGGAGAGGTCACGATAGAGGACAGGGTCAGGGAGGAGAGGTCAAGATAGAGGACAGGGTCAGTGAGGAGGGGTCAAGATAGAGGCAGACAGGTTCAGGGAGGAGGGTCAAGATAGAGGACAGGGTCGGGGAGGAGAGGTCAAGATAGAGGACAGGGTCAGTGAGGAGGGGTCAAGATAGAGCCAGACAGGGTCAGGGAGGAGGGTCAAGATAGAGGACAGGGACAGGGAGGAGAGGTCACGATAGAGGACAGGGTCAGGGAGGAGAGGTCAAGATAGAGGACAGGGTCAGTGAGGAGGGGTCAAGATAGAGGCAGACAGGGTCAGGGAGAAGGGGGTCAAGATAGAGGACAGGGTCAGGGAGGAAGGGGTCAAGATAGAGGACAGGGTCAGGGAGGAGGGATCAAGACAGAGGACAGGGTCAGTGAGGAGGGGTCAAGATAGAGGCAGACAGGGTCAGGGAGGAGGGTCAAGATAGAGGACAGGGTCAGGGAGGAGAGATCAAGATAGAGGACAGGGTCAGGGAGGAGGGGTCAAGATAGAGGCAGACAGGGTCAGGGAGAAGGGGGTCAAGATAGAGAATAGGGTCATGGTGGAGGGAGCAAGATTGAGAACAGAGTCAGGGAGGAGGGATCAAGATCATCTAGAGGTTGAAAGTACAATTAAGAAGACAGAGACTGGTAGTAAGGAGAAGATAAGGTGACAAATGTACAGATGGCTTCTGAACTTTTATTCATCTAGGAATTTATTTGTTCACAATGAAAGCAATGAGGCACTTACTGGATCTGATTAATTGCAAACTTTTACATTTTTAACCGGTCTGGTATTTTTAGCAGAAGTAGGCGAAGAGGGCAGTTTTTGATGACATTTTGTATAATACAGTGCCTGTGTTATACGATGAATAAATACCTGTCTGTACCTATCTCTCGTTTACACTGCAGTCTTAGTGCCTCTTACCTTTCATCTTTCCCCATTGATGCACTTTTTGACCTCTAACAATGGTAGAAAAATTTGTTTCGTAAACAAATTCGATAAAAAGAGATCTTTGATCCTTATTCATTCCATATTTCATCAGGGCAGGGGTCATTTGTGAAGAACTTTTATTTTTACCTGTTGTTTAAAAGAATGACCCGTTTTACCTCTGTTTGCCGTTTTTTTTAACTACGACAAAATTGTCCCCTAGAATATTGTGATATAGAAGTGAATGGGTTGGTGATCGTATAAATGTTGACACTGTCAAGTTTTGTGTTGACTCTGTGTCGCGGCAATAGGTGACTCCTGTGTGAAAGCTTCACGACCATAGATAACTCCATATAAAGGCCTCTTAGAATTTATTTTAATAATTTACCACTGGACAAAGAAGACCATTTTTCTCCCGATCTTTTCAGCAAACACATTTGGATGGCTTAGCTGAACTTGTGTAGGTCTGTGAAGTGTGCCAGTGGGTTTTGTTACACTGAAGGGCCAAGCACCTGGTTTGATATCAGTTTAAAGGGCAGATAATTTGTGGAGACAGGTCGTAAGAAATCCAACAATGGCCCATTGCTGGAGTACGATTTGTGATGTACACAAAGTTAGGTTTGTGTGTGAAGTCTGATGATCCTTGTTAGTACCGACCGGTACAGAGTCGACCAGTAAGGGTTAGGTGATTCACTTGCTGGAATCTACTAGTAGGGAGAACCTGTCTAATCTGACCAGTATCTTAATTGTGTCCCACAGGTTGTCGGATAAAACAGGTTTTATTAATGCAATAGCTTAGTGAGTTGTTTAGAGTGTCAATACATCGGCCATTTTCTCTCTTTGCTTGATAAAAGAAATTGACGTTTTCAAAAGCTCACAAAATCAGCTTTCAATTCCTGTTTGTGTTCAAAACAAATTTAGCCTTTATTATTTATACCAGATTGATGAATCTTATTCCATATATGGTATGACAAATAATACAGAAGGCTAAATTTTAAGTCAGTTTTATTTTCAGTTATTTATTCAAAATTAAAATTATGGAAATATAAGTGGTTTGAATTTCCCCCAAATAGTTTTAAACCTAAGTAAGCTTTATATAGTTACAAAGGAGTCGTGTACTTAAGATAATCAAGGCTCAAATCATATCCAGACAGTTACAGGCGTGAAAACAATCATAATTCTCGTGTATGACTGTCATCTCCCTATAGTAACAGTGTGTTAAAGGCTGTATACCAAGTATGACTGTCATCTCCCTATAGTAACAGTGTGTTAAAGGCTGTATACCAAGTATGACTGTCATCTCCCTATAGTAACAGTGTGTTAAAGGCTGTATACCAAGTATGACTGTCATCTCCCTATAGTAACAGTGTGTTAAAGGCTGTATACCAAGTATGACTGTCATCTCCCTATAGTAACAGTGTGTTAAAGGCTGTATACCAAGTATGACTGTCATCTCCCTATAGTAACAGTGTGTTAAAGGCTGTATACCAAGTATGACTGTCATCTCCCTATAGTAACAGTGTGTTAAAGGCTGTATACCAAGTATGACTGTCATCTCCCTATAGTAACAGTGTGTTAAAGGCTGTATACCAAGTATGACTGTCATCTCCCTATAGTAACAGTGTGTTAAAGGCTGTATACCAAGTATGACTGTCATCTCCCTATAGTAACAGTGTGTTAAAGGCTGTATACCAAGTATGACTGTCATCTCCCTATAGTAACAGTGTGTTAAAGGCTGTATACCAAGTATGACTGTCATCTCCCTATAGTAACAGTGTGTTAAAGGCTGTATACCAAGTATGACTGTCATCTCCCTATAGTAACAGTGTGTTAAAGGCTGTATACCAAGTATGACTGTCATCTCCCAATAGTAACAGTGTGTTAAAGGCTGTATACCAAGTATGACTGTCATCTCCCAATAGTAACAGTGTGTTAAAGGCTGTATACCAAGTATGACTGTCATCTCCCAATAGTAACAGTGTGTTAAAGGCTGTATACCAAGTATGACTGTCATCTCCCAATAGTAACAGTGTGTTAAAGGCTGTATACCAAGTATGACTGTCATCTCCCAATAGTAACAGTGTGTTAAAGGCTGTATACCAAGTATGACTGTCATCTCCCAATAGTAACAGTGTGTTAAAGGCTGTATACCAAGTATGACTGTCATCTCCCAATAGTAACAGTGTGTTAAAGGCTGTATACCAAGTATGACTGTCATCTCCCAATAGTAACAGTGTGTTAAAGGCTGTATACCAAGTATGACTGTCATCTCCCAATAGTAACAGTGTGTTAAAGGCTGTATACCAAGTATGACTGTCATCTCCCAATAGTAACAGTGTGTTAAAGGCTGTATACCAAGTATGACTGTCATCTCCCAATAGTAACAGTGTGTTAAAGGCTGTATACCAAGTATGACTGTCATCTCCCAATAGTAACAGTGTGTTAAAGGCTGTATACCAAGTATGACTGTCATCTCCCAATAGTAACAGTGTGTTAAAGGCTGTATACCAAGTATGACTGTCATCTCCCAATAGTAACAGTGTGTTAAAGGCTGTATACCAAGTATGACTGTCATCTCCCAATAGTAACAGTGTGTTAAAGGCTGTATACCAAGTATGACTGTCATCTCCCAATAGTAACAGTGTGTTAAAGGCTGTATACCAAGTATGACTGTCCTCTCCCAATAGTAACAGTGTGTTAAAGGCTGTATACCAAGTATGACTGTCCTCTCCCAATAGTAACAGTGTATTAAAGGCTATATACCAAGTGTGACTGTCATCTCCCAATAGTAACAGTGTGTTAAAGGCTGTATACCAAGTATGACTGTCATCTCCCTATAGTAACAGTGTGTTAAAGCCTGTTTATCAAGTATAATAGGACAGGAGAAGAATGTTATATTTGTGATCAAAATTTATAGACGTTTACAAGTGAATACCTGTACCAGGTAATACAGGGATAAAAACCGTGCTTTGGACAGGTGTCAGGGCCGGAGATTTAGGGATACAACTCTGTATTCCATCATCTAATGTCATCTGTCAGAGGGAACTTGAGTCGCTCTGTTGGTATGAGTAGGATTCATTAGTTAAAAAGAGAAAAAAACAGCCGGAGATATGATTTTAGTCATAATTTTTGAAATATGCATGGTCACAGATTCAAATCAGTCGTGACTCACGTGGCCACCAGTCCAGTCAAATCAGTCGTGACTCATGTGACCACCAGTCCAGTCAAATCGGTTGTGACTCATGTGACCACCAGTCCAGTCAAATCGGTCGTGACTCATGTGACCACCAGTCCAGTCAAATCGGTCGTGACTCATGTGACCACCAGTCCAGTCAAATCGGTCGTGACTCATGTGACCACCAGTCCAGTCAAATCGGTCGTGACTCATGTGACCACCAGTCCAGTCAAATCGGTCGTGACTCATGTGACCACCAGTCCAGTCAAATCGGTCGTGACTCATGTGACCACCAGTCCAGTCAAATCGGTCGTGACTCATGTGACCACCAGTCCAGTCAAATCGGTCGTGACTCATGTGACCACCAGTCCAGTCAAATCGGTCGTGACTCATGTGACCACCAGTCCAGTCAAATCGGTCGTGACTCATGTGACCACCAGTCCAGTCAAATCGGTCGTGACTCATGTGACCACCAGTCCAGTCAAATCGGTCGTGACTCATGTGACCACCAGTCCAGTCAAATCGGTCGTGACTCATGTGACCACCAGTCCAGTCAAATCGGTCGTGACTCATGTGACCACCAGTCCAGTCAAATCGGTCGTGACTCATGTGACCACCAGTCCAGTCAAATCGGTCGTGACTCATGTGACCACCAGTCCAGTCAAATCGGTCGTGACTCATGTGACCACCAGTCCAGTCAAATCGGTCGTGACTCATGTGACCACCAGTCCAGTCAAATCGGTCGTGACTCATGTGAACACCAGTCCAGTCAAATCGATCGTGACTCATGTGACCACCAGTCCAGTCAAATCAATCCTGACTCACATGACCACCAGTCCAGTCAAATCAATCGTGACTCATGTGACCACCAGTCCAGTCAAATCAATCGTGACTCATGTGACCACCAGTCCAGTCATTCAATTAATCGTGACTCATGTGACCACCAGTCCAGTCAAATCAGTCGTGACTCATGTGACCACCAGTCCAGTCAACTCGGTCGTGACTCATGTGGTCACCAGTCCAGTTAAATCGGTCATGACTCACATGACCACCAGTCCAGTCAAATCGGTCGTGACTCATGTGAACACCAGTCCAGTCAAATCGATCGTGACTCATCTGACCACCAGTCCAGTCAAATCAATCCTGACTCACGTGACCACCAGTCCAGTCAAATCAATCGTGACTCATGTGGCCACCAGTCCAGTCATTCAATTAATCGTGACTAATGTGACCACCAGTCCAGTCAAATCAGTCGTGACTCATGTGACCACCAGTCCAGCCAAATCAATCCTGACTCACATGACCACCAGTCCAGTCAAATCGGTCGTGACTCATGTGACCACCAGTCCAGTCAAATCGGTCGTGACTCATGTGGTCACCAGTCCAGTTAAATCGGTCGTGACTCACGTGACCACCAGTCCAGTTAAATCAATCGTGACTCATGTGACCACCAGTCCAGTTAAATCGGTCGTGACTCACGTGACCACCAGTCCAGTCAAATCGGTCGTGACTCATGTGACCACCAGTCCAGTCGAATCAGTCATGACTCACGTGGCCACCAGTCCAGGCAAATCAGTCGTGACTCATGTGACCACCAGTCCAGGCAAATCGGTCGTGACTCATGTGGCCACCAGTCCGGTTAAATCGGTCGTGACTCAGGTGGTCACCAGTCCAGTCAAATCGGTCGTGACTCACATGGCCACAGGTCCAGTTAAATCGGTCGTGACTCATGTGACCACCAGTCCAGGCAAATCGGTCGTGACTCATGTGGCCACCAGTCCAGTCAAATCGGTCGTGACTCGAGTGGCCACCAGTCCAGTTAAATCAGTCGTGACTCATGTGACCACCAGTCCAGTCAAATCGTTCGTGACTCATGTGACCACCAGTCCAGGCAAATCGGTCGTGACTCATGTGACCACCAGTCCAGGCAAATCAATCGTGACTCATGTGACCACCAGTCCAGTTAAATCGGTCGTGACTCACGTGGCCACCAGTCCAGTTGATCAATCGTGACTCATGTGACCACCAGTCCAGTTAAATCGGTCGTGACTCATGTGGTCACCAGTCCAGTCAAATCGGTCGTGACTCACGTGGCCACCAGTCCAGTTAAATCAATCGGGACTCATGTGACCACCAGTCTAGTTAAATCGGTCGTGACTCACGTGACCACCAGTCCAGTCAAATTGGTCGTGACTCGCGTGGCCACCAGTCCAGTTAAATCGGTCGTGACTCGCGTGGCCACCAGTCCAGTTAAATCAATCGTGACTCATGTGACCACCAGTCCAGTTAAATCGGTCGTGACTCATGTGACCACCAGTCCAGTTAAATCGGTCGTGACTCATGTGACCACCAGTCCAGTCAAATCGGTCGTGACTCATGTGACCACCAGTCCAGTCAAATCGGTCGTGACTCATGTGACCACCAGTCCAGTCAAATCGGTCGTGACTCACGTGGCCACCAGTCCAGGCAAATCAGTCGTGACTCATGTGACCACCAGTCCAGGCAAATTGGTCGTGACTCATGTGACCACCAGTCCAGTCAAATCGGTCGTGACTCGCGTGGCCACCAGTCCGGTTAAATCGGTCGTGACTCAGGTGGTCACCAGTCCAGTCAAATCGGTCGTGACTCACGTGGCCACCAGTCAAGTTAAATCGGTCGTGACTCATGTGGTCACCAGTCCAGTCAAATCGGTCGTGACTCACATGGCCACAGGTCCAGTTAAATCGGTCGTGACTCATGTGACCACCAGTCCAGGCAAATCAATCGTGACTCATGTGACCACCAGTCCAGTCAAATCGGTCGTGACTCGCGTGGCCACCAGTCCGGTTAAATCGGTCGTGACTCATGTGGTCACCAGTCCAGTCAAATGGGTCGTGACTCACGTGGCCACCAGTCCGGTTAAATCGGTCGTGACTCAGGTGGTCACCAGTCCAGTCAAATCGGTCGTGACTCGCGTGGCCACCAGTCCAGTTAAATCGGTCGTGACTCACGTGGCCACCAGTCCAGTTAAATCAATCGTGACTCATGTGACCACCAGTCTAGTTAAATCGGTCGTGACTCACGTGACCACCAGTCCAGTCAAATCGGTCGTGACTCGCGTGGCCACCAGTCCAGTTAAATCGGTCGTGACTCACGTGACCACCAGCCCAGTCAAATCGGTCGTGACTCGCGTGGCCACCAGTCCAGTTAAATCGATCGTGACTCATGTGACCACCAGTCCGGGCAAATCGGTCGTGACTCATGTGACCACCAGTCTAGTTAAATCGGTCGGGACTCACGTGACCACCAGTCCAGTCAAATCGGACGTGACTCGCGTGGCCACCAGTCCAGTTAAATCCATCGTGACTCATGTGGCCACCAGTCCAGTTAAATCGGTCGTGACTCACGTGGCCACCAGTCCAGTTAAATCGGTCGTGACTCATTGATAATATGGAAGCAGTCTAGACCAGTTAGACTGGTTTAAATACTTTTAGCGTCCGATATATTTTACATGTCCATATTAAAACAAGAACATTAATTGGTCTTTAAATTGTTTCAAGTTAAGGTTGAAAACATTAGATGATGTAAATTCATTTAAGATTATATCCATATTTCACCCTTGTCTGGGGTTATAGGCACTGATAGCGATTTGTTTCGCATTTATAGCGTTTTGTACAGTGTTATAATTGTTAGATTTATTGAAGTGTACCTTAGGGAAGTAACGATAATGTTAGCTATCGATGGCGGAGACGTGAAATATTGCACAATTTTGATAAAATGCATCTATCCAGGCTGAGGGACTATTTATGTATTACCTTCAGCCCAGCGTACCTCGTTAACTATCGGCCAATGGTAAGTCAGACCTTTGTTACTAATTGTCCGCACTGTTTCATTTTTGCTGATATGTTCAATATTTTACGACAATTTGCATAGAGATAATAGCAAACCCAGACGTAGTGTTTCTAAGTGGTTTATTGTAGTTAGGCCATGGGACAACAACATTACAGGTGTTTGGTTGTATATCACAGCAACATTGTACAGATAAATATGGGGACATAAATTGGACGAAGAAATTATCACAGTAAACAAGGATTTGTCTGTCAATTAACATGTTCATACTGAGATGACCGCTAAAGTCCTTGCAATATTTCCAGTTTTGTTACATTTGGTCTGAATTTTGAAATTGTAAAACTGTCATATGACCTTTAATGTATATATCTCTGTTCAGTGAGAGAGATTTGGTCCATTTTAAAGTCCCTGGTCACAGCACCATTTTTAACCAGTCAAGATTTGAACCAGATATGCATTTTGCTCTGAAGAAATATATTTTAATAGCTCAACTATCTGAACAATGATGACACAGAAGGTCCAAGTCTGCTTACAGCTTAAAGCAGTGTGTGTAACTGCTTAGAGTTTTCTGTCGAACGCTTGAATGGCTAAGGACATTGCTTGGTCACTAATTTGTTAATTCAGAAATGGTTGTTTTACAAGAGATGTAAGATTACAGCCTTGATGTTAAGTTGTTAACTCATTCACCCCTGAAGACACATTTGAACTCTTCCAATTCAAAGGTTGGAATAGCTCATTATGAAAGTTCAGGGGTGAATGAGTTAAGCATAGGGTTATTGTAGACTTTACCTGCTGCCCATTTCCTATTGTATTTAAAACCTATACAATAAAATATTCCGAAAGTGAAAACATTCAGGACATTTGTGAATAAATTCAATACACACTGTATTTTATATCTATTATGAACAATTTGATCCTTTATTTTAATTGTCTCCTAAATTTTAAACTGACATCTATTTGAAAATGCTTTTTAAATTTCCCGATAACAGATATATTAACACACTCCCTAAGTCAGCTTGTCTGCTGACATACCTGGTCGCAGTAAAATATCTCACCGATTACATAACTTTATCATCTCGCATACATCATTAAACACGGTACGACGCGAATACTTGATCATTTTTACAGCTAATGCAATGAAATAACTGTTACCAAACTACTACATCAATTTTACAGGTAATTCCGTAATTCTCCATTGTTTTACAGGTAATGCTATAATACTAAATCATTAAACAGGTAAAACAGTAATAATAAATTGTTATACAGGTAACACCATTCTATCCAGTTTAACTACATACTACGGCTATGTAACTACATAATACGGCTATGTAACTACATAATACGGCTATGTAACTACATACTACGCCTATGTAACTACATACTACAGTAATGTAACTACATACTAAATCTATGTAATTACATACTACGGCTATGTAACTACAAACTACGCCTATATGTAACTACATACTACGTCTATGTAACTACATACTACGCCTATGTAACTACATACTACAGTAATGTAACTACATACTAAATCTATGTAACTACATACGACGTCTATGTAACTACATACTACGCCTATATGTAACTACATACTACGTCTATGTAACTACATACTACGCCTAAGTAACTACATACTACATCTATGTAACTACATACTACGCCTATATAACTACATACTACGGCTATGTAACTACATACTACGCCTATGTAACTACATACTACGCCTATATAACTACATACTACGTCTATGTAACTACATACTACATCTATGTAACTACATACTACAGCTATGTAACTACATACTACAGCTATGTAACTACATACTACGGCTATGTAACTACATACTACGGCTATGTAACTACATACTACGGCTATGTAACTACATACTACGGCTATGTAACTACATACTACGGCTATGTAACTACATACTACGGCTATGTAACTACATACTACGGCTATGTAACTACATACTACGGCTATGTAACTACATACTACGGCTATGTAACTACATACTACGGCTATGTAACTACATACTACGGCTATGTAACTACATACTACGGCTATGTAACTACATACTACGGCTATGTAACTACATACTACGGCTATGTAACTACATACTACGGCTATGTAACTACATACTACGACTATGTAACTACATACTACGGCTATGTAACTACATACTACGGCTATGTAACTACATACTACGGCTATGTAACTACATAATACGGCTTTATAACTACATACTAAATCTATGTAACTACATACTATGGCTATGTAACTACATACTACGCCTATATGTAACTACATACTACGCCTATGTAACTACATACTACGCCTATATGTATCTACATACTATGGCTATGTAACTACATACTACGCCTATATGTAACTACATACTACGCCTATGTAACAACATACTACGGCTATGTAACTACATACTACGCCTATGTAACAACATACTACTGCTATGTAACTACATACTACGTCTATGTAACTACATACTACGCCTATGTAACAACATACTACTGCTATGTAACTACATACTACGTCTATGTAACTACATACTACGCCTATGTAACAACATACTACTGCTATGTAACTACATACTACGCCTATGTAACAACATACTACTGCTATGTAACTACATACTACTGCTATGTAACTACATACTACGCCTATGTAACTACATACTACGCCTATATGTATCTACATACTACGCCTATGTATCTACATACTACGCCTATGTAACTACATACTACGTCTATGTTTTGTTTGTGGTTTTTTTCTTAAAAAACTTTAAACAACTTCCTGATTAACCAAAATGCCCAGGGTGATGATATTTGGCCAGTAGCATGCTGAGATGAAGGGCTATCAAGTTTGTTCAAATGAATGACCTTCACCTATATTCAAGGTCACGGGGGTCAAATTTGTGAAAAAACATTAAACAATTCTTCTGAATAACCAAAATGCACAGGGTGATGATATTTGGCCAGTAGCATGCTGAGATGAAGGGCTACAAAGTTTGTTCAAATGAATGACCTTCACCTATATTCAAGGTCACGGGGGTCAAATATGTGAAAAACATTAAACAATTCTTCTGAATAACCAAAATGCACAGGGTGATGATATTTGGCCAGTAGCATGCTGGGATCAAGGACTACTATGTTTGTTATAGTGAATGACTAGTCTTATATTCAGGGTCACATGGGTCTTTGTTTAAAATCTTTAAACGACCTCTTCTGAATAACCATGGGTCCCAAGATGTTGATACTTTGCAAGTTGCATCCTGAGATGAAAGGCTATAAAATTTGTTCAACATAATGACTTTGTTGAGTTTCAATCACAGGGATGAAATGTCTTAAAAAAAAATAACAGGTTCTTTCGAATGAATGTTAATCATAAATACTGATATTTTGCCTGTAGCTTTATTTTAGATCACTTTTAAGGTTACAAGTGTGAAATTTATACCAGGTGAGTGATGCAGGCCCATTGGGCCTCTTGTTTTGTGTTATATCTCCATAACATAAAAAATATATTCAAGTTATACTTAATTATTATAGACTTATGTACATAAAAAGTAATAAAAAGATGAGACTAACCAGCCATCTATACAACACTGTATCCTGGTGAAGCCAGCTCTGGATTATACAAAAAGATGAGACTAACTAGCCATCTATACAACACTGTATCCTGGTGAAGCCAGCTCTGGATTATACACTGGGAGACACTGCATTGACAAGCATATTAAAAAAATTAAAAAAATTATGATGTTTTCATCTCTCACATCATTGATCTGTTTAACAATGGTGCTTTATTGAAACTTATAGCGACGACCAAGAACTCGTTATAAAAACCAGTGTAATTGTCTATATGAATATCCAGTATTGATATAAGTGCTAGAAGTTTGTCTGGTATAGACTTCTCTGTAGAACAATCAGGTGGTTAAAATGATTTACTTGACAAGTCCCTCTACGCGTGTCATCCTCCACTCTCCACCGAGATTTATGTTCTGTTCATGCAAAACTGTAAGATTTCCGTCAAGGGAGACAAACCAATGTTACACATTGATCTTCTATTCTTCATAAAATCTATCCTCAGTATGGTTAATGGCTAGGAGCCTTTCAGTTCTATCACAAATTTACATAAATATATCACCAGGTTACAGATTTGCCTGCTTTTGTATTAGAGCTATAATATTTTTTGAAGTTTGATAATTCTTTTTAAATGCATTAACTAACAATACATTTAAATATGGATTCTTTCGTGTTTTGACATCTGAAATGGTCAGAAAAACACGTTTCTCTGTATGTCATGCTCCAGTAAATATCACGTTTTCCGTTGACAATATGAGAAGAGATATTAAGTGAAATCTACTGTAATATAAATTTTACATCACATGTCACAGACCAACAACATAATTGTTGTGTTCCGACTTCAGTCTCTCCCTAAAGTTCAGGTAGGTAGGTAGGGTTGGATTATTTGGATTAATTAGATGATGGGTACAGGCAATTACTTCCGTTGTTAGATTTGTAGCTAGCTAGAAGATTAAATTTCAGTTCAAGATGTTTCCAATGATTGTCCAAATTAATTTCAA